GCTAAGGGGGCAGGCAGGCCGATGGTCAAATGAATTACTGTAGTAGATTAAGCAGGTACGACTGACACGCCTTTGAATGGAATTAGCTGATTGCATTCTACTGACGTAAGGAAGAAATTCTGGGGAAAAAAATCTCATGAGGTTTCTGCTTTCGATGCACAAGGAATAGAGAGCTGCTAACTTATATGGTTAAACATCTGATTATATTGCTGACGTAATTCTACAGATTTTTCGACCCAGGTAAAAACTGCTAGGTCAAAATTGTGCAATGCTGATGTGACGAAAATAAATGAACTCGTTGGATTCCTCCAGACTATGAGATAACGCATCAGAAGGGAATGATGAAGAAAGCACTTTTTCTAGAAATCAGGCTGTTCCAGCCGTGAGTTCATCGAGATCATCACCTGGAACCGCTTGCATTAAGCAGAACATCTTTAGCCAATTAACGATAGCATGGAATTGACAGATCTCTTCATGCCTTAGAGGCCAAACTGCCTTTGAAAATACTCTCCTTACTAATTCGGAACGAGGCTCGATAACTACACCGGCATTTAATATTATGTAATTCTGCTAATGCTTGAAACAGAAGAGGCATAAAGCGAGCTTTTAAACAGTATGAATACTTTACTTGAAATTTTCGCCCACGTGGCAAACGTGACAAACACGGTCAAATAATTACTAAATACCTGTTATATCATGACCTACAGGGGTAAATAAACGACAAACTACATTTTAGATATTAGAGTTTTGCATCATCGTGCCTTAGCGTCAGTAGATACTGACCTCATGTTCGTCCTGTAATTTGTTTATGGGTAAAAACATTTTTGCGGTTTAGTCCAAACTACTAACATGACGTCTTTACTCGATAATTACTGAGCCTCAGCATTGTTGCATGTATATTCAAGCTTACACCACGGCTTTGATGTGGGTTAAGGCTTTAGCAGTAATGCCATAAAAGCCAAACATTACTAGACAGTTTCAGTCCATATCGGTATGGTCTGATTACCACTGAGCAGGAACATAGATATAACTATTCAACTGAGGACGTATTCTGGTATAATCAGAAAATGAATTCCTTAGGACAACAAAGGTTTATGAAAACATTTTAAAAGACCATGAATTTAACAAACCACTCCTCTAAAATGACTCCCCTAAAATGACGCCAAATTA